TATTAAGTCATTAACTAATAAAATAATTAAATATGTACATTTGAATATTATTTTTAAGAAGAAGAATCATAAATAAAATTAATAACGCAAGATAGAGATTTAAAGTTAAATTTAGAAAACAAAATAATATAATAAATTATATGAGGGACTTCTGGATATTAAATATTTGAATGTGTATTACTCGTGTCTGTTGCTACTATTCAATACGTCATTTGAAACCTTGCAAACCCATATGACAGCTATATCTTCCTGTCATTAAACATTAAATACCGTAAGATACTTAAAGTTTAAAAAATAATTAATTATCTGTTTTAGATTCGTGATAACTTGTTTTTATATCGCTAACAGTTATTAACATACATGTACTCACTTTTTGTTACCAGTTAAATACATATTAATAGTTACGCGCGTTGAATTAAAGAGAACGCTTATGATAACGATTCACTTCTGATGATGATGATTCATTCTATTTCATAATGAAAATAACATTTTATTTCATTTGTATCAATCCCAAGACTAAGTGTCTGTTATTATAATGGTTATTTAGTTTCTTTGTAATTAGTTTGTTTTCTTCTTGTTCGAGTTTAGTATTTTTTAATCAATGATATATCTGATTGCAATCTAATTAGAAGAAATAAATTTATTCACGTGTTTTCTATAATTTAATTCTTTATCAAAAATAATTCTTTTGTTAGAAAAATTTTTCTTATATTATTTAATGTACATAACTTTTCATGCTCGCATTTTTTTAAACTCTAAATTTATTTATTCAGACGTGAATAAATATTGACAATTTACTGTGACAGTTTAATTATAAATTCCGTTTCACAGATAAACTTAATATTATAATTATATTAATTGTATGTTTAATTTCACAATATTATTTCAATTAGTTTTATAATAATAATAATAATAATAATAATATTTATTAATTGTAAAATAGTAAAACAAAATTTTTGTCTAGTATCACATAAATAAAATTTTTATTTAATTAATTTATTTTAAAATAATTTTTATAATTATTAGCAATTTTATATTTTTTAACTAATAAAATTTTTATTAATTAAAAAAAATATAAAAATTCTTAAAATAAAAAATAGTTCTTAGAATTAATAAAATAAAATTTTTCCACGTAATTTATCTTCTTAGTATACGATCTAATTAACAGTGCGATCTTTAAAAAAATTTTCCACAATAATAAAATAAAAAAATTAAAGTGTTAAAATTTCTTCATCTTCTTTAAATTTAAAAAATGACATTACCTCAATAATAAATACTTAATTAAATGATAAAAAATGTTTATTTATAATTACAAACCGGAAGTGAACAGTCGCATGGTCACAAGATCTGATTGCAATTTTTTACACCGAAAGTATACTGATAACTTAAAACGATCTCAAAATAAGATCACATAAATATCCTGAGTAACGAGTATAAATTAAATCTTTATAATTACTTTATTTTAATCCACTATCAATATAAAGTAATTGTTTTGAAACCTAATCTTTGTTTGCAATATTTAAAAAAAAAAATAAAAGCAGCTTTGTTTAGTTTCCTTATTCTTAATTGGATTTAATATTTTTTTCTCTGACGAATCCATATTTATCAGTATGAGCAAACTTATAGCTTGTAATAACATGTAAAAAATGTATTAATAATGTAACACGAATGGATGTAGCTAGTGGGAGGCCGCAGGTAGTTTTTTTAGCTTATACAATTCAGTAGTCATTTCATCTCTACTTCTCGCACTGTCTTTTACGGGTCAAACTGCAAATGTCCGGTGTTACCAGATCTAGTTCCACTTCTAACACCGTGTAATTTTGTCCTATAATTAAAAAAAATAAAATTAATCAATTATTTCAATCCTACTAAAGTAAATTTTATATATAAAATGATTTTATTTCATAAAAGTCATTATTCTTAAAATTAAAAGCATAAAATAAATTAAAAGTGGATTTTGATAGTGATTTTAGTGAATTATACTAGTGATTTACTTCAATGGTTCTTAAATATTTAATTGTAAGAAAAAAAAAAATTTTTTTTTCAATTTTTCTTACATTTTCTTCCACTTAAAAATATTTTAACATGTTATTTTTTCTTATCTTATTGCATAAAATATATCAAGAGTTACATCGTGACTTTAAATAAAAAAGTGATAAATTTATCTTCACGTTAAGCAAAAATTACTTTTAAATATTTACATAGAATATTTTAAAACTAAAAAATATTTTAAATTCTTCATTTTTATTCAATCAAATTTTTTGATAAATTTTTTTAAAATAAAAAATTTTAATTAAAATTTTTTAAATTTGAAAATAAAACTAACCTGTTGGAATGAATTTTTTTAATTCATTGTTGAAATTCAGCAGGTCAAGGTAAAATTTATACGTATCATTTTAGATTTACGTCCTTGATTTTGATTTTTCACAGCGTAAATCTTTTTAGCCTCGGATTGTCAGTCATCCTGACAATAACAACTAATCTTTTAATAGTAATTCAATTTTTTAAAAAATCTCTTAAACAACACAGTAAATTATAATAAAAATTATTATAATTATACTATTACAAATATTGATAACTGAAAAAAAACAAGAAGACCATAAATTAAAAATAAAAAAGTGTACTTGAAACAGAGAAGTGTCAGAGTGATTAATTTACGCATCAGGTATCGGTTAAAATGCGAGCAACAAGATATTTGCTTCTGATTATAAACAAGAATAGTTATTATTTATTTATGTTTTTTTCAGTCTCACTTGTTTACATTGTCTTGATCGTGGATTCATTTATGGTCACTTTAATTATTACGTCCTTGCTTGGTTCTAACTTTTTGTATTACCAGTGTTAACTACGGAATCGAAACTTAAACATCTTTACAGATAAAACAATTATTTAGTAGTTTAAATTTCTTCTAAATTTTCAATTAATTTTAATAATTACTACAAGTTACACTTTTATAAAATTGTGTTATTTCTTTCCTCTGTTGAAGAACAATTCAATGAATTACTGATCCATTAAATTGATAAAAGATAATTTTTATATTGTGTTATAAAAAATGATTATGTATAATGTTACATTGAAAATATTGTAAGAATTTATTGAAATACTCTGTTTCCGTTCGTGATGACCTTTTTGTATCCGCTTTTCTAAAAATTGTTATACTTTATTACTCAATATTAATTTTTAGCGACAATTTAGATTAAAAATTATTTATATTTTTAATTTTTATGATTTTTAATTAATTATTCAATTATAAAGCCTACTTTTTATTTATAATTTTTAGTTTAAATATTATTGTTTTTATTTCAAACGATTATTCAGTATTGATCAATTAATTAAAAAACATAAATTTTATTTTATAATTATTCACAAAGCATCCTTTCACTCTTAAAAAAAGAAAACAATAAATAATTTATTAATAATTGATTCATTTATTAAAATAAACATATTCTTCAGGTCAATGAAATTTATCATACTAAAGATTATTCTATTGATTAAAAAAAAAAAAAAATACAGTGACATAAATTTATTTCAGTACAAAAATATTTATTTAAATGTCTGAATAAATGTTTATGTACAGTATAGTGATGGTATTTGAAGAGAAGTTATTTTTGTAAACAACTAATAATATTTTCTTCCACGACAGTAAATCTTTACGTATATATGCTTACATGTTAATAAAGCGTTAAAATTACTGATGTAACTATAAATTTCTTTTACACTGAGAAAAAAAAATTATTAATTGGTAGAAAATTTTAAACAATTTTGGATGAAAATTTGCAAGTTATAAATCTAAAATTATTTTTTCCAAATCAAAAAAACTTAAAAAATCTAATTATAATAATCGGTTTATTTCTTCTTTTGTAATTACATTTTTAATAATATTTTAAAAGTACTGCGAAGCCGGAAAAAAAATTAAAATATTGAGTAAATAATTAATTAAAATAATCAAGGGCATCCCTTATTAAAAAAAAAATTAAAACGATTGAACCCATGCAAAATGTATATCTATATATTTGTCAAGTTGAATATTTTTTAATCGCTTTGAGCCATTTCGAATCTTTTCAAATTTTTTTTTCTAATCAGAGATAATACTCAAGGAATCGATAACAATGACAAGAAAATAAAAGCAAATGTTAAACCTAGGTTGAGTATTTCTCAACATGACCGTGTGGCCTAACGGATAAGGCGTCGGACTTCGGATCCGAAGATTGCAGGTTCGAGTCCTGTCACGGTCGGCCCTTATTTTTTTTATTTCTCCATTCTCCAAAAAACAATTATTCTTTTTTATGAATTATTAAAAAACGCATAAAAAATTATAACAACAATTAAAAACAAGCGTTATATAAATAAGAATAAATTGTCGAGCAATAATTATTATTATTTTTACAGCGTAATATTAATAGCTAATTTAAATTATCTGAACAAATAAAATAAAATAACTGTAAGTTTAAGATCAGACGCGCAACAATACGATAGTATTTAATATATTCAAACAATGTTAATTATTTACTTATTTATCTGTCAGAGAGATAAAAAAATATTTCCGTGCTACTTTGCATGGCTATTACAAATTACATAATTGAAAAAAATTTTATTTTTAAGAATAATTATAGAATTTATTTAAGCGATGAACAACTATCGTATATTATAAGTTATAAATGAGTTTTAAATAGTTGAGTGTAATTCAACAGATGCATCCGTACTAAATTGATCTTATTTAACCTTTGTGCATTCTTTTAGAGCAACCATTCGTTTTCTCAGTGTTTGTTCTACTCAGTAGAGTTTAGTTTAACTTTATACACTAAGATATTAACCTAAATGATGAAAAATTTATTATTTTATTTTTTTCAGCTCGCGTGTGAACACAAAACCAAGTCCCGTCGTCGAGAAGCAGCAGAGCAGCGCAGAATCAGCAGGAAAATTTCGCCAAAATCACGATATTATTGAAGCTTTTTACACAATAATTGATTTGATCCGGCAAATTCATTGTTTCTGATTATATTCTCATAATCTTCTTTTTTTTTTTTTTTTTTACGAAGCCCAGACTTACACAACCGCGCCGATATCGTAGAATGGTAGAAGGTGAACCACACTCAAAGCCCAATAATAGTAAGTTTGCTTTTTATTATAAAAAAAAAAAAAAAAAATGTATTAAAAACGGGGCTTTTTTTATTATTAAATTTTTAATTCAATTGTTGTAAAAAATTTTATTATTAATTATAAACCAACTTTTAAAATTACTTTACATTAATTTTAATATCAAGTTTTTTAATCATTTTTATGTATATGAATAATTTTAATAAATTTTTTTAAATTTTGATTTAAAAAAAAAAAACAATTTATATAATAAAATTAATTCTATAGTTAAAAAATAATTAATAATTTAATATTTTATTAGTAAAATTAAACCTTGTAATTTTTTTTTTTATTTTAAATATTTAATTTTCAGAGTGTGATGTAAAGGACAATCGTCTAAACGGCTGCGGTTCAAAAGACCTAGAACTTGCCGGTAATTATTAATAAATAAAAAATAAAATTATTGAAAAATTGTAATAATATAAAAAATTGTTTAACAGGTATTGGGTCAAAAGGTAAATCCTTAGACCCCGAAAAAGGATCATACATAAAAGCTGACTTCGAGAAAGCTATCGAACTAACCGGTGAGTATAAAATCATAATTTAGTTTTTAATAGTTATTTATTTAAATAAACTACTGATAACCGAATAAGTATTTATGATAATTAATGATAATTGTTATTGTTTAAAAATAAAATAGAATATGGAAAGTTTCACTACTTTCTGCTGGCGGTGTGCGGGTTCGTCAGTACGAGCGAGGAGATGGACGTAATTTCTATGTCCTTTATCCTGCCGAGTGCACAATGTGACTTGAACTTGAGTACCGCGGCCAAGGGATGGCTCAGCTCAATCATATTCATTGGGATGATGGCAGGAGCTTATGCGTGGGGTTCAGTCGCGGATGCACTGGGCCGACGCAAAGTTCTTATCGTTATCTCATTTATGAACGCTTTATGCATCGTTGCCTCCAGTTTCAGCCAGTCCTATGAACTTTTTTTGTTCTTCCGTTTTTTAAACGGTGCTGCGTAAGTTTATTTATTATTTGATAATTTATATAACTTTTGATAATTACACTGTACTTTCATAAATATTGACATTTCTAAAGATATAAGCTCATCCTGATAATACACTCATCAAGAGCTTTCATTTGATTACCCACATCAATTTTTTATATATTTTTCATATATACATATATATATAATATATATTTTGAAAATATAAGCTCATCCCGATGTTACACTCATTAAGAGCTTTCATTTGAGTACCCACTTGGATTTTTGATATATTTTTCATATATATATATAAAATATATAAAAAATTGATGTGGGTACTCAAATGAAAGGTCTCGATGAGTGTAACATCAGGATGAGCTTATATCTTCATAAATGTCAATAGTTCACAAGATACTAGGTCATTTCTTAATTATGAAAGACATTTATTTTTTTTTTTAATTTAAAAATATTTATTAAAAATCATTAAGGAAAAAAAATAAATGTTTACTCTACAAATATAACAATAACTAACTAAAAAAATAAAATAAACAGTTTAGGTGGCAGTGGACCGGTTATCTGGTCATACTTTGCAGAATTCCAGCCGAAATCAAAGCGTGGTTCGATGCTGTCATTCATGGCAGCATTTTGGACCCTGGGAAATCTATTTGTCGCTGGATTAGCGTGGCTGATAATTCCACATGACATCGGTATAACAAGTACTTCATTCACATTCAACTCTTGGCGAATTTTCCTGCTGATCTGCGCTGCTCCGTCATTCATCGTGGCGGGACTACTGTTATTACTGCCGGAGTCACCAAAATATTTATTATCACGCGGTAGATACGACGAGGCACTCAATATATTCCGTAATATATACGCTATTAATACTGGAAAACCACGTGAAAGTTACACGGTTAAAGAGTTAATCCTCGACGACTTTGCCAACAGTAAAAATATCGTTGAGCCGATTAAGAGTACAGGAGGCACCATTGGTGGTACCAAAGATAATAATAATAAGAAAAAAAATAAGTACAAGATTATGTTTGGTGATATTATGGATAATAGTAAACAATTGTTTGTATCACCGATACTGCGTTTTACAGTGATATCTATAATTATTAATTTTACATTTCACATTGGTTACTATGGTCTTATGATGTGGTTCCCGGAATTGTTTAACCGCTTTGATCTTTTCAATCAACGTAATCCTAATCAAAATACAGATATTTGTCAAGTTACTGAATTTTATATTAAAGTTAAGAATAATATTACTGAGCAAGACCAACCGTGTGATAGCAAAATTGGAGAAGCTGTTTTTATTGAATCACTTATTACTGTTGCTTCGGCGATACCGGCTAATATTCTTGCTGTTCTTGGTATGGATCGTTTGGGCCGAAAGTTTTTCCTCGGTAAGATTTTTTTTTTTTTAAGTCTATTTTAATATTAAAATTCTGTTTATAAAACTAATTAAATATTACTTTATAATTGCAGTTTTTAGTACACTGTCATCGGGTGCTTGCTCTGTTGGATTATATTTTGTTTACAACAAAGTACACAACGTGATAGTGTCAGCATTCTTCAGCGGTGTAATAAGTTGTGGTAACGCGGCGCTAGACTGTCTTATCACCGAAGTATTTCCTACAAATCTACGTGCCACTGGTATCGCTATTTCGATGGTAGCGGCTCGACTTGGTGGTATTATTGGTAATATCGTCATAGCTCAGTTGCTAGACATGTATTGTCCTGCACCTACATTTATTGTGGCTGCTCTTCTTATTGGTAATTATATATATTTTTTTTATTATTGAACATTAAGTAATTGTGCTTTATTAAATAATGACTTTTGTTAAATTGTACTGTACTTTCATAAATATTTACATTTTTAAAGATATAAGCTCATCTCGATGTTACACTCATCAAGAGCTTTCATTTGAGTACCCACATCAATTTTTCATATATTTTATATAATTATGTATACTATATATATATATATATGTATATATGAAAAATATATCAAAAATGTATGTGGCTACTCAAATGAAAGGTCTTGATGAGTGTAATGTCGAGGAGAGCTTATATTTTAAAAGATGTCAATAGTTCACAAGATCCAAGGTCATTTCTTAATTATTGATATTTTTAAA